TCACCAGGATGAGATTTGAGATAGAAGATTCTAATTAAAAGCTGATATTTTAGCTGACTACAATGCACTGTACCAGCTGTAGTATATATCTTTGTTGGTCCCTTTTGATCCCTATTAGCGCTGTTTCTTTAAGGTTGCTTTCAGTTAAAGCAATTTATTGCTGCTTGGGTATTGCTCTTCTGCAATTAGCTGGAATTAAAATGCCAGTTCCAAACAGCACTTAATCTAGCGTTATTTTATACTGCAATACGCTTTTCCATTGCCAAGATCTGCCTATATTCAGCAAAGATATTTTGCAATGTTAATTAAAAGCTTACAACTCCAGTCCATTTTGTTTTTCCCCCCATACAGCTTGGTTGGGCAAGTAAGTGATGAATTACTCCTTATTTAGTCAACTTTTGTTCCCTACTGGGGCAGGCTTTAATTATGGGTTACCTTGTATTATTTTTCTGTATATGAAACCAGAAATGGAAGACTGTCCTGTAGTTGGGAAACCAAGGCTGATTCAACAGGGCGCAATTAATTCCCTGCCATGCAGAACATTAAACCATACAGTGATCTGAATCTGGAAGCTTCAGATTAAATGCAGAAGTCTCAATGTTACTTTGCCTGCCACTGGGTTTTATTGTCCAAAATCTCCATAAGTCAAATCTCCAAAAACATGAAAGAACAACACAGAAAGCACTGAAATGCAATGTTTTGGCCATCACCTGGATTTCCTGGGGAAAATGAGTGAACTAAGGGTGGCAATTCCATATAAAAGGCTAATCAGAACATAATTTATACATCTGCTGCAAATCAACAGATTGTAAGCAACACTGAAGAGTTTTCCCTCCTATGTGCATCAGGTTCTAAATTTACACTAAGGAATTCCTCATCATGGAAGTTAAAGTATTTTCAACTCTTTGCAACTTTAAAATAAACTGAAAATGAATAGTATACCCAATGTGGCCAGAAGCGGTTGTTGGTTGTGGGAGCCTGGCTGGATTCAAAGGCGGCCAATGTTATTTATTTTGCTGGGACAGTTTCATGTCTCCCTTAAAACATAAAGACAGAAAAGGATCCTATTTGATCTTGTGCTTTTCGTGGTAGGCATGCTAAATATTTGTCAAATGGCATCCGAGGAGTTTGTCAATTGATTTCTCCAAGCCAGCAAAAAGTCAGGGGCTGAAGGATGTATCATTCATGCCAAAAACTAACTGTTTGTTTATGCTGCCCACACAGAAGCTGAAAGTATGACTGGCTGTGTGTGTCCTGAGGGGGCCGTGCTTTGATGTTATTTGTTTCATTACAGATAGGAAGCTGCTCAGCTGTGACTCTCTCAACATTTAATCAAGCGGTTGTTAAGTAATTCACACACCTCTCACTCCTTCAGTATGAATGAAGCTCAGTGTTGGCTAGAAATCTTTCCAGCTCATTCATGTATTTAGCTCCCATATGGATGAATCGACAGGGTGAAACATTTAATGCTGTTGCTCTTCTTATGGGAAGTCGAGGTCTTCTATTAAAATGTTGTGCCACCAACACCTGAGAAAAATGTGCAAAATGTGTTCTATTTGGTGTTTTAAAAAACCCTGAACTAATTTCTCTAAGGGATAGGATAACTGCCATTTGTTCTAATGACCATCAGCCTTCTGAACATGTATTTTAACCAACACTTTTTACTGAACTTAAAATAATTCAGCATTTTCTCATTTCCCTAAGACACCAATGGGGAAGGGGTCTAAATGTGGCCCTTTGTTTCTTTTTATTTGGCCCTCGGGGCTCTTCCAAGGCCACAGCCCTCACCAGTCAGACTCTACACCATCTTCAGCTTTAGCTTGGCTGGAATGTGTTCTTGGACTACAATAAAACCTTTGCTCATATGAAGAGGGGAGAGATGCGTTTTTAGACATCCTCTGATATTTTCATGGCCAGAATGTAGCCTGTTGTACATAGTGAAGAGTCAAATCCATTGCTCTGCCCATTTTGCCTCTGGTCTCACCCACTTTTGATTCTGACCCTGGGAGCCACTAGAATGTGGCCCCAAAAGGTTCCTTATGAAGGAATGTGTGGCTCTTAAACTGGAAAGGGCTTTTGACCCCCTGCCATAAGGTAGGGAGGCGGCATATTTCTCAGTACTAAAGTTGAAAATCTGACTGGAAGGGAGGTACACACAAGAGAAAAAGGAAGCTTTCCTTCAGTTTTTAATAAATAATAATAATAATATATTTTTATTTATACACCACCCATCTGGCTGGGTTTCCCTAGCCACTCTGGGTGGCTCCCAACAGAATATTAATAACATTAATAATAATAATAATAATAATAATAATAATAATAATAATAAAATGATAAAACATCAAACATTAAAAACTTCCCTAAACAGGGCTTCCTGCAGATGTCTTCTTAAAGTCAGATAGTTGTTTATTTCCTTGACATCTGATGGGAGGGCATTCCACAGGCTGGGCGCCACTACCGAGAAGGCCCTCTGCCTGGTTCCCTGTAGCTTTGCTTCTTGCAGTGAGGGAACCGCCAGAAGGCCCTCGGCGCTGGACCTCAGTGTCCGGGCTGAATGATGGGGATGGAGACGCTCCTTCTGGTATACTGGGCAATGAAGGCAATTAAGAATATATCAACAATAGGGTAGTTTGTTTGTTTTTTGTTTAAAAAGAATAGCGGTCTACAAATATTTGAAATGAATAACGGTATTCAAAGATGAATAATAAATAATTTCCCAAAGCAATTTGGGAATGTTTCCAAGAATATATATGAAATATTGCATCTGTCACAGCAATGGGCAATTCCTCGAAAGCTTACATTGTTGCTCAAGACTGCAGTTCAGACTGACAATTAAAAGAAGCCCTTTGCACACATTCCTAGCATCTATGGCATGTGTGGGTGGGGAATAAATTTGAATCTTTTACTATTTTAATGCAAACCTCCCCAATCTGCACATTCCAAAACATTAGACAAACAGAAACACTTTAAATTCACACTTTGGTGAACTTTGTGATGAGCATTCTCCAAATAAAGTGTGGATAAAAAATATAGGTGTGAACAAAATATAATATATAAAATGCACCATATTAGGGGGAAATACTTGCAAAAATGTGCATACGAGGCACAACTGCAAGCGAACAGTAGGAGAAATTTGTGCTAAAATGTGGACAATTTTTAATGATTTTAAAAAATGCAAACTGAAACGTAGAAAACTGAAGTTACAATGGAAAAATGAGATATTAAGAGAAATGAAATGGAGAGGTTTTCATGCTGCCCTGAGATCAAGGGAAAAAGTAATTTCTTGCAGTATCTATGAAGAAAGCAGCAAGAGGCAGAGTACAATGCCCTCTAGTGGCTTGATTTTGGAATTTCCACCCTCAGCGTTGATTGTTTCCCACAAAGCTTGAACCCAATAGGTCCTTGATGTGCAATGGTCCTTTGACTGGACTTAACCAACCAGGCGCCCTATACCTTTGCATTTACCTTAGTAGCGTATATAAAACCACTAGATATATTGTGCTCACTGCTCTCCTGGTGAAATGCAGCATAACATATTACAGATGTGGAATTTGAAATCTGGTTTTCGCTTTAAGTGCCAACAACTTGTAAAAAGAAAAAACACACAACTGCCACCGCTCTAGAAGCGATTATTATAATGGAGCCGCATCTTATTAATTAATTAAATTACACTGTTGTCGTTTAGTCGTTTAGTCGTGTCCGACTCTTCGTGACCCCATGGACCAGAGCACGCCAGGCACTTCTGTCTTCACTGCCTCCCGCAGTTTGGTCAAACTCATGCTGGTAGCTTCGAGAACACTGTCCAACCATCTCGTCCTCTGTCGTCCCCTTCTCCTTGTGCCCTCCATCTTTCCCACCATCAGGGTCTTTTCCAGTGAGTCTTCTCTTCTCATGAGGTGGCCAAAGTATTGGAGCCTCAGCTTCACGATCTGCCGTTCCAGTGAGCACTCAGGGCTGATTTCCTTAAGAATGGATAGGTTTGTTCTTCTTGCAGTCCATGGGACTCAAGAGTCTCCTCCAGCACCATAATTCAAAAGCATCAATTCTTCGGCGATCAGCCTTCTTTACACTACTTGATTGTAAAAAGAAAAGCCTCAAAGCAGTTTATGAAAAGATAAAAGTAAAATCAAGAAAAATTCGCAACCATAGTTGAAAAGCTAAAACGGATTAAAATTTGCACCAACTTCCTAAGCATCTGCATAGGCTTCTCTAAACAAGAATGATCTTAGCAGGAGCCAAAAAGAATACAGTGAAGGTGTTTGCTTGATATCAAGAGGCAGGGAGTTCCCACAGTGTAGTTGCTGCCACACTAGATGATGGAGTTCTTAAAAACGTGGAGCAGGTATTAAGTGGTACCTAGAGCAGTGACGCGGGTAGCGCTGTGGGTTAAACCACAGAGCCTAGGACTTGCTGATCAGAAGGTCGGCGGTTCGAATCCTAGTGACAGGGTGAGCTCCTGTTGCTTAGTCCCTGCTCCTGCCAACCAAGCAGTTCAAAAGCACATCAAAGTGCAAGTAGATAAATAGGTACCACTCCGGCGGGAAGGTAAACGGCGTTTCCGTGTGCTGCTCTGGTTCGCCAGAAGCGGCTTAGTCATGCTGGCCACATGACCTGGAAGCTGTACGCCAGCTCCGTCGGCCAATAAAGCGAAATGAGCGCCGCAACCCCAGAGTCGGCCACGACTGGACCTAATGGTCAGGGGTCCCTTTACCTTTACCTAGAGCAGTGATGATTCCACTGATGTAAGTGGTTGAGTGAGCACTTGCGGGGTAAAGCGATCTCATAAGTAAACTGGTCCCAAGTTGTTAAGGGATTTATATATCAATAATAATACTCTGAACTTGGCCCGTTAGCAAATCAGCAACCAGTGCAGATCTCTGAGTACAGGTGACATATACTGACAAGGCCTTACTTCTGTCAGCTTAGATTTGCACAGCCACCACACACTCAAGAACCTTACCTGCAAAGGGGATGTTAGCATCTGGGCAATCGTCATCTAAGCGGTCTGGTCCAAGGGCGGTTTCTATAGGAGTTTCTATAGGTAAAGTAAGCAAGTTTGGGTCTGGTCGATGACTTCTGAGGAACAACCTGCAGGCCTCCTTGTGTTCCCTGAATGAAAAAAAATATATAAATGTCAGAAAATAAAATTTAAAGCTTTAAAGGTGTATCGGTTGGAGTGTAAAATTAGAGTGGAATTTATTTATGTCTGTGCATTTCCTAAGTCAGAGAAACATAGAATGCATGTGTGAACTGCAGGTTGTGGAAGAAGAAGCACTTACTGAATACTTACCATGTATTTATTTTTTGAGACACTTCATTATCCTACTTTGAGTCTGAGAGACCAGATTACCTTCTAACAGAGAGGGGATTTATGTGTTCAAAGGGTTAGTCGCTGAAATGTCACCACGTCTTCCCGCTTCTCAAAATGAAAAGATGGCTTATTCATACTTCCTTTCTGCAATCGCCTTATTATGTATAGATTTTGGATGCTTCTCCGAGAAAATTCGTTGGGGTGGGGGGGTTTCTACCTACGGTTTGAGGGGAAAGCAAAAGCTTTTTCTTCCTCTGGGGCTCCATCCTGCATATTGCTTGGCTGAATTTAAGTGGGTCAAGATCTCACGCTGTTACCAAAGCTATTTTGAGCTGCATTAAAGTAATACAGCTCAAAAGCAGATTACTGAGCACACATCCCTTTAACCATGCAGAAGCAGAGGGCAGCCTGTTGGGAGGGTGCGCGAAACGTGCTCCAATAAACACGCAGGAGAAAGATCTCTCTGCGACAGTGCTAGTGGCCATATCATCTGATGGCCTACTGCCCTCATGCGACTTGATTAACGGACATGGGCATGCTTTCATGAAACATGCTGCCCTTTTGCACCTTCATCCCCTTGCACAGCCAGCTGGGGCCGACCCTACCATCAGACCAGGGTTGGAGAATCTGTGGCTTGCTAGTTGTCGCTGGACTCCATCTCCCATCAGCCCCACCCCAAATGGCCAATGGTTGGCGATGATGGGAGTCCGAACAAACACAAACCCCTGTGTTGCAAAATGTGACAATCTACAAAAATCAGCAGCTACATTATCCAGTGAGCACTGATCCACTAGTATGATCTTCACTAGTATGTATATTTCATTGATTATTCGCTGATGAAGACTTTATTCCAAAACAGTTGAACTATGTCCGGATGCACTGAGACTTCGGAGAGACGTCTTCCTTTGAGACTTTCGTGAGATGTCTTCCTTTGAGAGTCGTTTGGCGTTCCTTGCTATTCATTGGTTGTTTGAATCTTTGTTTGACTCTGATACATATAACAACTTGCAGTTACTTGTCTATTTTGTGAGATGTGTTGTATGATATATAGATTATTTTAAAGTGGCTTATTCGTATATTTTGAATGACATCATACCAATTATATATTTACTAACCGTTATTAGCCAGCGTGTTGCGTTTGCATTTTTTAAAATGTTTAATTTATTTAACATAATTGTTACAAAATATAAGCAAAATATTGCAAACACATACATACATATATATTTCAAGAAGGAGCGGCTGAAACTGAAGGCAAGTTCTGCTTCATTTTATCCCCCGGCACAAGCCCTATTACTTTGCTGCAGTAAACCATTCTGATTTATTAGTCATTTATAACTTCTTTGAGGGTGACGAGGGTACTGGAGACAGCCTCGGTATTTCTGCTCGCAAATATAAGGGGGAAGGCACCACAGGACAGAAGCGTTAAAAGCCCTAAAGCTGAGAACTAAAGACGGAAAAGGGAGTAGAAACCCTAGAGGCCCTCCGAGATAAGGGACAAGCATAAAACCCTGCTTGTAAAACAACCCTCCCCACCTTTCGAAGGTGGGAAACTGGAAGATAAATATAATCCGTCTTGTGATTGAGCCAAGTGAAGCCAAAAAACCCAGGACTAAGAGATTCCAGCAAGCTGCTCCCAATTACCTTTTTCCACGCTCAACATGGTCCTTACAAGAAAGAACTATATGGACCTGGGATTTGCACCAATATCACCTCAGGGGGAGTGGGAGCCCCGAAGGAAGCAAAGTAAAATCACCAATTACTTCCCCAATAAAGAAGGGAATAAGAATCCACAGCATGAGAGCACTCCAAAAGAAATTGCCCCTACTGTGCTGGATTGGTCAATACAATGCAAAGACTTACAAACTGAGCAGGAAAGACCAAATTATTCCATGAGCTGGGCGCAGGAACTGGACCTAGCTGAGAACGCCTTGATGACCAATTCCCCCAACCCCAATGACCTCGAGCACCAAAAATCAATTCAGAATCTATGGGAAAACCAGCAAGACCCTCAGAATCTCAGGGAAAACCAGCAAGACCCTCAGCCCACAGCGAATGCCAACAGTATAGAAGAGAGGGGTGACTAGTTACACGATCAAATAGATCAGATACGCACAGACCTCTACAATATATAAGAAACTTCCTAGCAGTAACAAATGGCCTACTCCTGACGCTTGTGGAGAATTTCAAACAAGCAAAAAGAGCCACAGATCAGTCCCTGGACTCAGATGCTGGAATCCACATACCACCCAAAAAGAACTCACGCAAAAGAAAACCGGAACCCAAGACGAAGAAAACTAAAAACATCAAAAAATTTAAGCCGTCTAGAAAAACCCAACACATCAGTAAAAAACAGTGGCAGAAACTCTTCAACTTACTATCATCACCTCCTATATCCACAAAAAAAATCAAAGCTCAAGGCACCAAAGAGATCGACAAGGGAGATTCGCCAAAGACCAAACCCCTCCCCATATGTGAAAATAATTCCCCAAGTGCATTCAAAGAAATAAGCCCCCCCACGGCTGTTCTCCCCCTGTGTTCGCCCAGCCTGACAAAAGCAACCAAACTACAGCTGGATGCCCCTGTCTTGAATCCACCTAGGACCCCTGTAGCAACTGCAAACAGAAGTCGGGGATCTCCAATATAGACGGGAACCCGCGGGAACCCCAAGCCCCCAGTAGAAAGAAAGAATGGATCCTGGTCCTAAGCCCGGAAAAGATGGTATTCACGAACTATCCAAAACCACTGGGTCCTCGCACAGGGACAGACCGCGTGAGGCACCTGCTGACTATTATAAACAACATTCTACCTGAGGCAGTTAAAGCAACTGACATAGACAGTATAGACTACCTATATCAAGATGGACATTCAGTCCGTGCCCTGATCACTTTCACAGATCATAATCTTGTCAACTTCATCTTTAGAACAAGAAATCTATTTTTAAAGAAAGGAATAGATTTATTAAGAATCTTTGAAAACAGAGCCCCGCTAACCTCCCTACTGGAGGCCAAGGGGGAAGGGAGACCAGGAACAGAGGAACAAAACGATAGAGTGCACATGCAACAAAACCAGCAAAACCAGAGCCTAGTGCACCAGCAGGAAAACATAGCCCCTATTGAGACTCAACTTCATTCGAACGACAGAGAGGACTCTTTCTCCATAGAAGAACATGCCCTAATAAATCGGTTCTGGTCACTGCAGATGCCAGCCCAAAAGGAAATCTTGGTTAGACTGGACACCCTGAGAAGCAGATTGACCAAAAAGGAGACCCATGTTGAGACTACGGAAGGCTCACACACACGGCCTATATCCCCCAAGTGCCTAGTGGACAAGAGGATGGTGGGTGGCGCCTTTAAATGTGTAGATTTGGAAGACCAATCGCAGCCCCCGCTGGAGTATGGTAAGGCAAAACTAAAACAGACTGTCACATCTCCGAGCACCTGGTTCAACTATCTAAAACTCTCCCCAAATGAAATAGCTACTCCCCCAAGTCCAAACCACCCCTTTAAGTCCCCAAGAGCTATGGATAATCATTCCCTTATGCAGCAGATGCCTATTGACAAACTTAATGGGAGTGTTTTTTTAGATGTAAAGGGGTCACTGGACACAGTGGACCCAACAAATCTACACCATGGAGGGACAGAGAATTAAAGCTGCTGTCCTGGAATATTGCAGGATGGTGCACTAAGAAAAACAATCAACAACTTGCAATGTTTCTTAAGAGATTCGATATCATCCTCCTGCAGGAGACCTGGCACAGTGACCCCATTCTGTTCAATGGGTATTCTTGTCACTCCCTATTTTCTACTCCATCTGTGAGGGGAGGTAGGCCTAGTGGAGGTTTAGCCAGCCTTATCTCCACAGAGCTTGAACATTCCTTAAAAGCCCTCCCAAACTGCAATTCACTAGCCACGGCAGTCCTACTCAAATTTAAGAGAGATGCGCTGGTAGTGGTCAATGTCTATCTGCCCCCCTGCCAAAAAAATCTATAGTGAAAGCTAACTGGGCAGAGTTAGAGGCATTCCTAGAGTCCATAGAATCTTCCCACCCTTCTACACAGATTATAATCGAGGGGATTTCAACGCCCGTATGGGAATTGATGATAACAATCTTTACAGCCAATATAATCAGATTCAGGACCCGGAAAGTCCAACCGAAGCAGGCGTCTCACGACTTTCTAAAGATAATAAATGCAACTTCTTGTGGCTATGTCTAGCCCAGGTCGCAAAAAGAAGGGAGTTGATGATATTAAACGGTAGTAAGGAAGAGGATCGCCCAGGGGAGTATACCCATTTTTCAAAGATGGGAGGAAGTGTGATAGACTATATTCTGATATCAAGATTCGCCTATAACTCTGTGTCGAGGTTTCAAGTGGGACACAACACCGAAAGTGACCACCTTCCACTAATTTTAGCGCTCAATGGCCCATCGTTTAACAAACCCACGGCTAACCTTTACTACACCCCCATCGTTAATCTGGGATCACTGGCCCCCAGAAGAATTAAATGGACCCCCATGCTCAATACAGAGCTAACCCATCTCCTCCATTCGGAAGACGTGAAGACCATCTACTCAGCCATTGTATCAGCTAATACCGGGGAAAAGGCCATGGACTCGTTTATCGAGCTATTAGTAAGACTAAAGACCTTCCTAACAACTGAGATACTTAATTCTGTTACAAAGCGGGCAATGGATCAAGAGAGATGGTTTGATTTGGAGTGTAGACAAGCAAGGAAACGCCTGAGATCAACCTATCGGAATTACAGAAACACCGGAGCACCCTCGCTATTTATGGTTTACATCTATTTAAGACGAAACTACAGACAGCTATTAAAGGTAAAAAAACAAAAAGCTGAGAGATTGGCCTGGTGTAATTTAGTGAAGGCCTCGAATGAGAAAGACTCAACCTCCTTCTGGCGTACCATTACGGGCCTCCTGGGCCAGGAGCGGATTGGTCCCATATGTACTGTAGAACCCCAGGAGTGGATGAAATATTTTCAAACCCTCTTCTATGACGACAAAGCTCAGCACAATGATCCAAGTGCCTACCCCGAGAACTTACCATATTGGCCTCCTGTCTCCATAGAGGAGGTGGGGAATCTAATTGCCCAACTGAAAAACAACAAAGCCCCGGGCATAGACCACATTCCAGCAGAGCTCATGAAGAACAATATCAGTTGGTGGGCTCCTATAATGGCGTCAATATTTACATACATCGATTCAACAGGCATAATCCCTGGTTGCTGGACAGAGGCAGTAATCATCCCAATCTACAAAAAGGGTCCTATGGCAGATCCAGCGAGCTATAGACCCATTAGCCTCCTTACTATCCCCAGCAAATTGTATGCCAAACACCTCCACATCAAACTAATTGACTGGATGGAAACTGAGGCAGTTCTGGCAGAGTAGCAAGCCGGCTTCAGACAGGGCAGAACAACAATAGACCATTGCTTCATATTAGCACACCTCATTGACAAATACGTCAATAAAACATGTGGGATTCTATACGCAGCATTTATTGACCTGAAAGCGGCCTTTGACTCGATCTCACGAGTCAAACTTTGGGCTAAACTCAATGCTACCAACATTGATAAAAGATTACTATTCTTGATAAAAAGCCTATATAAAGACTCCAAGTTATATGTAAGAACCTCAGTAAATGGGCAACTAATTGGCCCTGTACCAGCCACCAAAGGAGTCAAGCAGGGCTGTATTTTAGCCCAGGCCTTATTCAACTTATATATAAATGACATGGTCAAATACCTAACATCCCCGGAGTTTCATGCCCCCAAACTGGCTGAAAAATCAATTTCAGCGCTCCTCTATGCGGACGACGCGGTTCTCTTATCACGAACTAAAGTAGGCCTCAAAAGGCTACTAAGAGAATTCTCAGCCTACTGTAGGAGAGATCAACTGGTGGTTAATCACCAAAAAACCAAAGTCATGGTCTTCGCTAGGAGACACAGACATCACAGATGGGAGATGGACAATCAGCCAATAGAACAGGTCAAAATTTTCAAATACCTCGGAGTAGTTTTCCAGTCAACAGGGACCTGGGAGGCCCATCATAAATATGCTAGGGAAAAAGCATCTCAAAGCGCCAAAATACTGTCACGCTTTTACTTTACGAAGGGGGGCAGACACATCCCAGCAGCTCTGGAGGTCTTTCAAGCAAAACCCTTGGCGCAATTACTCTACGGGGCCCAAATCTGGACGGGAAATCATTGCCGCACACTTGAAACGGTCCAGTCTAAATTCTTAAGACAAATCCTAGCTGTTCCACCATGCGCACCAAATGCGGCCCTACGGCTGGAGACTGGCCTCCTCTCCGTCGAAACCCGAACCTGGCTAAGAACATTCAACTATTGGCTTCGCTTAAATTTAAACCCATCCGGACTACTACCTCTAGTAGCACGAGATGCTCATAGAAGTCGGTGGTCCAAAGTAGTGCATCAAAAACTACTTACATGTGGCCTCCAAGCACAGCATCTCCTGAAAATGGGTCTCCCCAAGGCAAAAACCATTATTGACCAGCACATGAAGGATATTGAGCAGCAGAATAATCTGGCCTATATTAAGAAATTTAGTGCTTGGTACGCTTATCTGCCCCCCCTCCCACTTTGATTTTCGGGCACCTTATTTGTCTACCTTAACCATTCCAAAACTCAGACGGGCCTTTACACTGGCCAGACTAAATATGTTACCCTCAGCTGTTCTTGAAGGTAGATATCAAAAATTTCATTCGAGAACCGGCTCTGCCCCTGTGGAGCTGGCTACGTAGAGACTGTGTCACACGTTCTCCTGTCTTGTTCCCTATATAAAGATCTCAGGGACGAGACCATCACGCCGCTCCTATCTGCCATCCCGGGCCGCTCTTGTGAAGCCAAATTGTTCTCACTCCTAGCCGACCAGAACAGCTCGACAACAGAGAAGGTTGCCAAATTTATCGAGAGAGCAATGAGACTGAGAGCTGCTATCTGACTGACATGAGTGTCGTCACCCGGATTCCTCGCCTAGGATCTTATCATTATTATCATTATGTTTTATTATTAGTATTTTATTACCTCTGCCAAGTATTAAGTACTGAGATTATTAATTTATCTGCATCTGGTTATTATTATCTTTCTCCCTGTCCTGACCATCCCTCCGACATTATATTTATATTTATAATCTTTCAGTTTGGCTGGTCTATTTACTTAACCGACCTGGAACAATCTACCAGAGAAAAGGCCGCCGCCCATGGGACAGAGGGTCATTGATGAATGATAATCCAGCTTCTACCTAGGGTTTTAAATAGGTCATAAGATTTTATGGTAACTATATTTGTAATGTATTTTTGTCGGTGTTTGTCCTTTGATGCTATGGCCTGTTGGCTACGCAAATAAAGTCTGTTGATTGATATATATTTCAAATAAGCACATATATATGAAAAAAGGAACAAAAGAGAAAAAAAGAAGAAAAGAAAAAAGAAGAAGAAATAAAGAGAAAAGAAGAAGAAAAGTTGGAAGAATTTCTTCCAAATTTATTCAACAAATATCGTTTGCATTTTTGATGATGGGAGTCCAGCAGCACCCGAGTGATTTCCTCTGGATTTGTGTTTGCAAAGGATTGCCACCCCCTCAATAGACATGCAGGGGCTGGAATGGAAAGCAGTAACAATGTGTTGGAGGACAGGACTGTGTGAGCCACGTGGCCTGACCTGCTCCTCCTAAATTAGTCTGCTGCCCTCAGGTGGGGTGGAGGATGCTGTCCCCATGTGTTTTTTGTGTCGCCTGCATAACATTATCCTCATTAAAGCAATAGTTAACATTTTTTGCATTTAATTAAAATGTTTCCACCTGCAGATGATGTGTTGAGGGGGAAATCCAACATAAATTCATGTTGCTCAAGTGTGGATGCACTGAGTAGGCAGGCTGTGTGTGTTTTTCATGTTACACATGTGACAATGTTTAGCCAGGCACTGCCTGTCACCACAGCCCTACTTCAGTTTGCCTGAAACTCAAGTGCAAACTAGCCACTTGGTTTTCACCAGCCAGTACAGTGGTACCTCGGGTTAAGAACTTAATTTGTTCCGGAGGTCCGTTCTTAACCTGAAATTGTTCTTAAGCTGAAGCACTACTTTAGCTAATGGGGCCTCCTGCTGCCGCCGTGCCGCCGGAGCACTATTTCTGTTCTCATCCTGCAGCAAAGTTCTTAACCCGAGGTACTATTTCTGGGTTAGCGGAGTCTGTAACCTGAAGCGTATGTAACCTGAAGTGTATGTAACCCGAGGTACCACTGTATTTTGAAAAGCAAATGTGGGAAGCAAGGAGGTGAGATGAACATTGCAATCCCACAGAGACTTCCGGGTTAGCGCCTCCGGCAATGGCGGATTTCCTCTGACCAGGAGGAAACCGCTTCGTGAGAACTAGGGTCTGGACCGCTGCGGCGAGGCGGAGACTCATTAAAAACCACAGGCGGGAGAAGCCTGTGGACGTGGGATTCGGCTGGCACCCTTTGCGCCTCCCCTACTCGCGGGGAAACCCGGTTTCGGGGATCCGGAGCCACTTGGGGTGAATGGCGCGGTGCTTTGAATCGACTGCTTTTTTCACGGAGTGAAGCTGCATTGCTGTTGCCGGAGAGCGCTGACTTTTTCCTGTGGACAATTGGATTTTAAACAACTGCCCGTGAGTAGAACGGAAAATTGGATTACGAAACTTTTTTAATTTGGCACCGAAGCGGGAAGGTCTAAACAGGAAGTCCGCCTTCCGCTTTTGTAAATAGATTGAAGCAAAGACATTGCAAGCTAGAGTCTGGAAAGTCGTTTGTAAAGGACTAAATTTCCATAAGTTAAAATCACTGAACCCCCCTTGGAAGCAGGAGAAGAGGGGGGAATCTTTTTAGACTGTTTAAACCTGCAGAAGAGAGAGTAAAGAAAGATAAATTTCCACCGTCTTGATCCTGGGAGCGGGGTGTCAGAGACAGACACTTTGGGGAAGTTCATTGACTGTGGACAAAACGTTTTTGACAGATAGGTAAAAAAGAGAAACATATTGATTCCAATGTTCCCTTTTGCACTTAAAAGGAACAAAATATCTGGAAAACGAAAGGAACTCTGTTGCTAGATCTGCTTTTAAAAAGACGGATACAAATAGAAATTGTTTCCTCTAATGCTGTTTTTGTTTCAAACATTGCAAATTGTGGACAAGATGGACTGTTTCAAGAAGTGGCAGAGAGATATTTCTAGATTTGTCTGGCAGGGCAAGAAGCCCAGAATAAAATTTAAGATATTAACTGATGCAAAGGAAAGGGGTGGATTTGCCCTGCCAGACTTTAAACAATATATGGAAATGATGAATCAGGAAATAGAATGGAAAATTAAACAAATGAGACAAAAAACATTTGAATCAGCTAACAAATGTGGGAAATTGTTGGCCTGGCAAATGAAAAAAAGACAAAAAATAAATACTATTACAAACCTAGAAGTGGAAGGAAAGAATATACACAACCCAATTGAGATTAGAAACTGTTTCCAGAGGCACTTTAAACAATTATACACACAAGGGCCACAGAAAGAAATGGATATAGACCGATTTTTGAAGACAAATGGATTACAAAAAATGTCTCAAGAAAGCAAATTAATGTTGAACTACAAAATATCTGAACAGGAAGTAGAAGGTGCCATTCAAAACATGCAATTGGGCAAATCTCCAGGACCGGGTGGGCTGACTTCTAGATACTATAGATCTTTGAAAGAGTGGTTAGTACAACCTTTGAAGGAAGTCTGCAATGAAATATTGGAAGGGAAAAGGGCACCAGAGTCGTGGAAAGAGGCGTACATTACACTTATACCGAAAACAGAGACTGAAAAGACTCAGCTTAAGAACTACCGCCCTATATCGTTACTTAATGTGGATTACAAAATTTTTGCAGACATTTTGGCCAAGAGGTTGAAAAAAGTATTGATGGAAGAGATTCATAAAGATCAAGCGGGCTTTCCCCCGGGAAGACACTTGTCTGATAATTTGAGGAATATAGTTGATATCTTGGAAAAATTAGAAGTGAATATAAACACTAAAGCAGTTCTGATATTTGTGGACGCGGAGAAAGCTTTTGACAACATCTCTTGGAGCTTTATGAAGAAGAACCTACAGGGGATGGGGGTAGGCCAAGGCTTTGAAAATGGTATAGGTGCAATATATTCTGAACAAAAGGCTAAATTAATTGTAAATAATGTGGTGACGGAAGAATTTAAGATAGAAAAAGGGACACGACAGGGGTGCCCAATCTCCCCACTGCTTTTCATATCGGTCCTGGAGGTTCTGCTGAATATGATTAGAAGGGACCGGTTGGTTAAAGGTATACAGGTCGGAGCCAAACAGTACAAACTGAGAGCATTTGCAGATGACTTAGTATTGATGTTACAGGAGCCAGAATCTAGTACTAAAAGGGTTTTAGAACTGATTCAAGAATTTGGTCAAGTGGCAGGATTTAAATTGAACAAGTTAAAAACTAAGGTTTTAGAGAAAAATTTAACACCGATTGAAAGAGAGAGGTTTCAGAATGAGACAGGCTTGACTGTGGTTAAGAAAGTGAAATACCTGGGGATTAATATGACAGCCAAAAATGGGAACTTATTTAAAGATAATTATGAAAAATGTTGGACGGAAGTGAAAAAAGACTTAGAAATTTGGTCAAATTTAAAGCTTTCAATGTTGGGTCGTAGTGCTGTGATAAAAATGAATGTATTGCCTAGAATGTTGTTTTTGTTTCAAACATTGCAAATTGTGGACAAGATGGACTGTTTCAAGAAGTGGCAGAGAGATATTTCTAGATTTGTCTGGCAGGGCAAGAAGCCCAGAATAAAATTTAAGATATTAACTGATGCAAAGGAAAGGGGTGGATTCGCCCTGCCAGACTTTAAACTTTATTATGAATCAGCAGCCTTTTGCTGGTTGAAAGAATGGCTACTTCTTGAAAATACAGACATTTTGGATTTAGAAGGTTTTAATAACGTATTTGGATGGCATGCATATTTATGGTATGATAAGGTCAAAGCACATAAAGCATTTAAAAATCATATTGTCAGGAAAGCATTGTTTAATGTTTGGATAAGATATAAGGATTTATTGGAAAACAAAACCCCAAGGTGGTTGTCACCGATGGAAGCGAAAGCTCTGAAAAGGCTCAATATGGAGGCCAAATGGCCGAAATATTGGGAAATTTTGGAACAAGAAGGAGACAAACTGAAATTGCAGAGTTTCGAGAAATTAAAAAACAAAGTGCGAGATTGGCTTCACTATTATCAGATAATGGAGGCATATAATTTGGATAAGAAAATTGGCTTCCAGGTGGAAAAATCAAAACTAGAAACAGAATTGTTAGAACCCAAAACTAAGAATTTGTCAAGAATGTATAACTTGCTGTTGAAATGGAATACTCAGGATGAAACGGTGAAATCTGTTATGATTAAATGGGCACAAGATGTTGGACATAATATTATGTTTGCTGACTGGGAACAGGTATGGACCACAGGTATGAAGTTTACGGCATGTAATGCCCTAAGAGAGAATATTATGAAAATGATATACAGGTGGTACATGACCCCAGTCAAGCTTGCAAAAATCTATCATTTGCCCGATAATAAATGTTGGAAATGTAAAGAAACCGAAGGTACATCCTTTCACCTTTGGTGGACGTGCCCAAGGATTAAGGCTTTCTGGGAAATGATATATAATGAACTGAAAAAGGTATTTAAATATACCTTCTTGAAGAAACCAGAGGCCTTTCTCTTGGGCATAGTCGGCCAATTGGTGTCAAAGAAGGATAGAACTTTTTATGTACGCCACAACGGCAGCTAGAATACTCATTGCAAAGTATTGGAAGACACAAGATTTACCCACTTTGGAAGAATGGCAGATGAAGCTGATGGACTATATGGAACTGGCAGAAATGACTGGCAGAATCCGAGACCAGGGAGAAGAGTCGGTGGAAGAAGAGTGGAAGAAATTCAAAGATTATCTACAGAAATATTGTAAAATTAATGAATGTTAGAATGATGTTGGATAGAAATTAAGTGGTTTCCAGCTGTAATGCTTTAAGGGAATATGAAAAAGGGTTATAAATAGGTAAAAATTTAATATTATTACTTTTAAAGGATTTGCTGAACCAACAGATTGAAGTGGAATACAAAAAGGGAGGTATGAGGAGGTCCGGGAAATAAGTCAAAGGAAAATAAGTAATGGAAAATCTGTGTGTTTTTAACTATTTTTTATTTTGTATTTTTGTCATTTTTGTCATTTTTTTCATTTTTATTGTAATATTTTAAAAAATCTTAATAAATATCTTATTAAAGAAATTGTTTCCTCTAGAGGGAGCTTGTGAAACTGTTGCTGGAGCCGATCTGGGGAATTCTACAGCTGTAGAGATAAAAGATCGTGGGAATTAGACACAGACCTTGAACAAGAATGTGCCCAGAAGAAGCTTTAGTGCTTGCTTTTTGCAAGACAAGTGCTTTACTGGAACAGCTACATGAGAAGATGGATTTGATGACTGTTGCAGTTGGAAATTTTGGACAAACAGTGAATACTTATATAGAAACCACTCAGGAATCAATCCAGGAATGTGCTTTGACAGAGCAAGTGGTGAAGAAGATAAAGGAGGAGGTAGTTGCTGAACCTCAAGTACCAGAAATGGAGAGAGCTGCGGCCTTGCAGGAACATAAGTTGCTGTCTTTGACGACTGAACTTGGAGAAAGTCAGATTTGGAGAGATGGAGTACTGTTTGGTCTGGAGATGGGAAGTTGGATAGATCCCCCTATGCAGGGATGTTTTGACTTTTCGGATCTGGCTTTGGGCCAGGGGAGTTCGGAGTTGTGGGGCCTTTAATCTTGGAGGGACTTTGAAACATGCCTTTAAATATCTGTTGGATTTCAGTGTCGACTATGGAGAATGGGCTGACTTGTCGAGAAGGGATAAAGATATTGTCAAGCTGGAGTCTCCCCGAGAGAAAGGAAGGAAATTAAGAATAAGATCAGCAGAAGATAAAGTAAAGTGCAGGTATAAACATGAAGAAGACCTGCAGAAGGGACATGGAAAAGACTTAAGAGCCTCGGATAGAAGGTCACCAAGTTGATGGACTAGATGGATGGAACAGAAAGGACTGACAAAACCCGAGACCAGGAAGAAGAGACGACGGACCAAAAGACAGCCCTTCTTTGAAATTTCCATCCCTCTGAATTTTCTAATGCAGGTTCTCCAGCTGCATATCATGTACAAGAATGTACATACTAGGATAAAGTTGCATGCATTAGTGAAAACAGCATACAAAAATTATTGTATCAGGGGAAATGGCTTGAAAAACATGCAAAAACGGGCATATTAGCAGAAATTCACAATAATAGCTACTGAGTTTTCATGAAGACTTTTTCTGATTGCAAATTGCTTCAGAAATGTGGAGAAACCAATTTAGGATTGGGAAACTGAGAGCAACCAAAATAGAGAGATTTGTCCATCCATATATTCTCTCCAGGTGGCGCTCCAGTGATAGGAGAAGCAAAGTTTCAGTGTAGTTTTCTCAACCAAAGAATGCCTCAGCTGATTCTGTCTTGCTTCCAGTTCACGTCTCTGTGTTAACAGGTGTTTGACGAGTTCAATCTATGAACATTTTGAAATGAATAGATCTTTAACATGTTACAATTCAGGCTTCTCAGAATTGACCCTGGTCTATTTTTGGTCCTGGTTTTGGTTGTGTTGTCAGCTGGTGGATGGAAGTATTGTTATGCTGCTGGAGTTCTGTATTTTAATTTTTGTGAATCCATTTTATTTTTTGATTTTAGTAATAATTGGTTGTGTGTGTGTTTTCTTTAATTGTTGTAGTTACTTTGAATGGGCTTTGCCCAGAAAAGCAACATATAAATATTTTTAAGGAGAAGGGGATATAGTTGTTGTTCTTCCCACAAGCCTTTAGGATACAAGGGATAAGATATTATGAGGGGAATTCAGTGTAGTAGTAAGTGGGGTATGTGCACAGGGAACGAGATCTGCTTGCACAAAGGGACTTCCCCCCTCCCTCCCTCTGCAGTCCTCAATCTTGTTTTGGGGGTTCCCACAACCTTCCAGAGCAGATTTAAGGGGTTTGTGGGTGGAGGAGAGTGGGGAAAGTCCCCTTCCTTAGTGGACATATTCCACACACAAAACCTAAGCCCCTGCCTCAATATTATGATAAATTGGAGTTGTCTCGAACCTCGTTTTTACATAGATGGCATATCACCCACATAGTACACAAATAATCCACAGAGTGCACATTTTTTAAAAAAAAGTGGAAACAAGATTCCTGTATCAGAGTCAGGATTTGTCTGAATACTAGTTGCTGGGAATCACATGTGGGAAAGATGCTATTGCACTCAGATCTTGCTTATGAGCTTTTCAAAGGCAGTTGTGAGAACACTGTGAGAACAGGATACTGAAATAGATGTGCCTTTGGTCTGATGCAACTGGGCTCTTCTTATGACTAGAGCTCTCTCCTAGGCCCTCTGAACATGTCCCAACCTAGGCCTCAGAGCTCTGTATGCACAACCTGAGGCACTGCGCCTCGAGTCGTGCCAGAGAGGGGAAATACAGCTTTATCCTGTCCCCTGAACCAATGGCCTGTGCTACCAAGCACAATTTAACCAGGGTTCTTTGTGTGTGTGGACTTAGATTCAGCTCATCCTCTTTTAAGGGAGTTGATTTCCCCTGGCATGCCTGTCAGCCTCATCCCCCTGGCAGAGGATGAAGATGGATGTGCACTAAAGAAGGCGGCAATGCACCACGGTGGCCACTAGAAGTCCTTCTTACACAACTGATATTATAGTTAATTCTGACTTCTCGTTTTTTGTCTCGCTTGTGACTTATTAATAAGGGAAAGGTTTGGCTTTTAAAACAGCTTTTCCAAAATGGTTTGGGTTGTCCTCTCTCCTCTGATGCGGTGAACAGTCATTTTAAAAAGGCGTACAAGGAATAGTCCTTATCAGGAAAAAACAACAACACGATTCTCCTGAACCACATTTTACTTCAGTGACAGGAAGCTGCCTCACACTGAGTCACAGAATCACAGAACTGTAGAGTTGGAAGGGACCCAACGAGTTATCTAGTCCAACCCCCCTGCAACGCAGGAATCACAGCTAAAGAGTCCCTGACAGATGGTCACCCAACCTCTGTTTATAAACCTCTAATGAAGGAGAGCCCATTACCTTCTGAGGGAGTCTGTTCCACTGTTGAAGTGAGAACATTGGTTCCTCGAGTTCAAAACACTTGGCAGCTCTACAGAGTTTCAAGCAGGGGAATTTCCCAGCTCCCTGGAGATGCCAAGCATTGAACCTGGGACCTCCTGAATGCCAAGCATATGCTCTGCCACTAAGCTATAAATCTTTATATGGATGCCAATCTCGACCATACCTTCACCTCATCCTTTTAGGAACAGCTTCCAACCCCTCAGGAAGAACAGCCCTGGAGCTCAAGTAGATTATAAATAGCTCGCAATACCTTGCTAGAATCTACTCCAGGAATTTGAAAAGAGGAAATCTCAATAGCAAGCACACACACCACACATGCCTAAAGGGGGCTCTTTGAATAATGGCCATTGTCTGCCCCCATTCAGCTGATATGTTAACAGATATACACTAGTGGCCAAAACTGTGGAAACCTTTTGGAAAAGGTGTAATCCCAACATTTCATGACTCATAACACCACTTCTTTTTTTGGAGCAATACCACAAAATTATATATCAATGGAAAGAAATTTTAATGAAGAATGTAATGCAGAAAAGTTTGTTCAATTATCTGTATTCTATCAAAAGCTGTAGCCAAATAACCAGAAAAAGGAAGCACAGCTTGCTTAGGTTGATATGCATTGCTTTCATTCATCTGAATGTAGTCCATGAGTATGAGTGTTTAGAGAGCCAATCAGGTGTTATGAGGCATCAAACCTCGGAAATACACTTTCCCCAAAAGGTTTCCACAATTTTGGCCACTAGTGTAACGAAGGGCCAAACTACATGTGAAACCTTTTCATTTAATGTGCAGCGTTTTTAAAAATGCAATAGCATGGGGGAGGGGGAAAGGGATGCTGATAATGATTGGAATACCAGCAAGACATGGAGGGGCGACTGAATCCTAACCTCCTTTGGCAGAGTCCTAAGGGAACTTCTCTTTGTGGTGTCACAATTAGAGGATTTCCTCCCAATGTAAACACATGAGGAGTTTCCCCCTCAGGACCACAGCAGGAGAGGAAAGGGTCAAATCTCCACTCCATGCTGGCTGTGACCCCAATAACTATCACCACACCCAGCCAATGCTATTTGCATTTTACAAGTCCTGCATGTTAAATGCAAAAACGCATTTAAGGTCTGACTACACATTACATTAAGAGGCACTTTTAAGCACATGATTACAGCTGCCTACTTGATTTCTTTTATGAAAAGCAGCTGTGAGGACCCTTGATTTGAACTTTGGTCACAGCACATTGAAACTGCAGCATGAGGTGGAGGGCAGGGATGGGTTTTTTTAACCTTTTCAGCAGCACACAATTTTCACATCCACCCCCAGCACTGCTGTTTGTCTCCCTAAGGTGCTATTTGTATCAGAATTGGGGATACAATTCCTTTAGAAACCAGCATTCCAAGTTTCCAGTTTTAACTGAGCAACCTGTCAGGGAACTGCCATCGGAAGGAAGGGAGGTGAAATGACTCAGACAGGTTGGAAGAGACTCAGCAGCTGAAGAGGGAACCAGCAAGGGGAGAGAAGCTGAACTGAGGGAGGTGAAAGGGCTCAGACAGGTTGGAAGAGACTCAGCAGCTGAAGAGGAAACCAGCAAGGGGAGAGAAGCTGAACTGAGGGAGGTGAAAGGGCTCAGAGATACTTCCAGCGAAAACAGTGGTGAGGTTTCCGGACCTCCTGTAGGGACACCCACTCCTCGCCGGAAACTGTCACGCAGAGAGTCCAGAAGACGTGTTTCCGTTAAGGAGCTTTTATGTTGGAAGCGATTACGAAAGCAACCACTGTCGGAATCTTCTAGTGACTAGAGGAGCCATGTCAGAGGGGCTCCGTCACAGACAGAGGTTTGTGGACTTGAACAAACACTGAGGGAATACGATTTTACGCACAAGCAGCTCATCTTCCCATCACAGCATTCCGACAGTCTTTGAACGCAGCTTGTGCAGGAGAAGGCATAATGAGCAACCCAGCAGGAACCGGAGAAGCAGGGGCTGGAGCGGGTCCAAGCCTGGAAGAAAGGTACCGGGTGTTGGAGGTCCAGCTGGCGCTGCAGACGGCGAGGCTGGAGGAGAGGAGGGCTCAAGATGCAGACAAAGGGAGAAAGCCACCCAGCTCGCCAGAAAGGTACCAGGATTGGTGCAGAAATTTGGGGGGGAGCCCAAAGACTATCATAGCTTTCGGACAGAAATGCAATATGCCCTCAATCTGCAGTTTGATGATTTCCCTGATGAGGAATCACGAGTGGCTTTTGTGATTGGGCATCTTGAAAAGGGGCGAGAGACTGGGTTAGACCCCTGATGGCAGCGCATAGTGACGTCCTAAAGGACACGATGAAGTTCTTTCGCGCCATGGATCTGATGTTTTCCAGCGATATTGAAAAGGGAGTGGTGCGCAGACAGTTAATGGCTTGCAAACAGGGGAGCCGATCTGTACGTGAGTACTGGACTGAGTTCACCATGCTGATACACAGATTGGGGTGGGACTTATCGGCGGAACCCATTCAAATGCTCTTTGAAGAAGGGCTTTCTTCGGCTGTGAAAGATGAACTTTCCCGGGCGCCCAGGGCGGAGTCTATGGACCAGCTGACCAAATCAGCGCTGGCCATAGGAGCGCGCCAGGAGGCGAGAGCATTGGAGAGGCGGGAAGGGAAAGGGGAACGTTGGAAGGAGTTCCGCATTCCAGACATTCCAGAGCCAACTTTCCCGCCGGCAGAGCCGATGGACATCGGAACAGCGCGCGCGCGCAGTTTCAAAGCCCAGTGAGGGGGGGAAAGAAGGCGGGAAAAGGCGCCCGGAAATGCTATCTCTGCCAACAGCCAGGGCACTTTGCCAGAGTCTGCCCCCAGATGAAGGAATGGCAAGGGATGGTGGGAGCTGTGGAGTGAATAGAGGAAATCATACCGGAGCAACTAAAAGCCAACGCCTGGCTGCCATTGTCGGGGCACAGCAGCCAGGCCAAAGAGCAGTGAAAGTGCCCACGCCAGAACCTCCTAAACCCGCCCTAGTGATAGAAGTGACACTAGAGCTGCCAAACGGACACCCTCTAAAGATAAAGGCGCTGTTGGACTCAGGCAGCTCCTGCAATTTCATGAGCAAAGAGTTTGCAGCTGAACACCAGATACAGACGCTCCCTTTAAGCAAACCCCTGCAGGTAACCACGATCGATGGCAGGGAGCTGTTGGGAGGAGAAGTCAGCTTGCAGACCGTCCCAATGATAATGAAGGTGGCAAGGCACACCGAACTAATAGCGTTTAATGTGGCCACCTTGGGAGGAGCTCCCATTATATTGGGGATGAGCTGGCTAGCGTTACATGATCCGCTGGTGGGCTGGCATCAAAGAGTGGTTTCTTTTGGGTCAGCACATTGCTTAGAACACTGCAAAGAGGGAAAGGTTTTGGCAGGGGCCCAAGCCACCCTAGCAGGGACTGAAGTAACGGAGAACGTGAAGGTACCACGACAATACGCAGATCTCCGCGACGTCTTCAGCGAAAGGGAAGCTGACCAACTACCACCGCATAGAGCCTTTGACTGTCAAATCAATTTGCTCCCTGGGGCACAGCTCCCTGTGGGCAAGCTGTACGCCATGTCAGACAGAGAGATGCAGGAGCTAAGAGAGTTCATTGACAAGAACCTGAAGAGAGGGTTCATCAGAGAGTCCGGGGCGGTGGGGGCAGCCCAGTGTTTTTGTGGACAAAAAAACACGAACAAGCCGAGACTGGTGTGTGACTTCAGGGCCTTAAATGCAGTGTCAGAACCAGTGGCCTTCCCGATGCCCAGGATTGACGACATTTTGACAAGGGTGCGGAAGGGAAAGATTTTCACCAAGCTGGATCTAAGGGGGGCGTACAACCTGATACGAATAAGGAAGGGGGATGAATGGAAAACCACCATGTTCACCCCTTTAGGGGCATTTGAATACTTAGTTATGCCCTTCGGTCTACAAGCAGGCTCCGCAACATTTCAATCGTTTATGAACCACGTCCTGGGGCCGTTGCTTTACAAGAATTGTGTGGCCTTCTTAGACGACGTGTTGGTGTATTCTGAGAATGAGGAGCAGCATGTGAGAGACGTCAGAGAAGTGTTGAGCAGGCTGCAAGCCAACCAGCTGTGGGTGAAACTGGAGAAGTGTCAGTTTCATACCAAGGAGGTGGAATTCCTGGGGTATCGCCTGTCTGACAAGGGGTTGGCCATGGATCCCGGCAAGGTCCAGGCGGTACTGGAATGGAAAACACCCAAAACAAGGAAGGATGTGCAGAGGTTTTTAGGATTTGGGAACTTCTATCGTAAGTTCATCCCAAACTTTGCCCACCTGACGGCGCCCATTACGGACTGTCTCAGCAGTAAGAAGAAGTTCGTTTGGACGGAGGAGGCGGAGCAAGCATTTGAGGAACTAAAAAGGGCCTTCGCCTCGGAACAACAGCTCCTGCATGTGGATTTACAAAAACCGATGAGAGTGGAAACTGACGCATCAGACAGAGCGGTTGGGGCGGTGCTTCTCCAGCCAGGGAAGGAGGAGTCAGAGTGGAGACCGTGTGCTTTTTTCGCGAAAGCTGAACAAATCCGAGAGGAACTACACGGTGTATGACCGAGAACTACTAGCCATTCATGAGGCGTTCCGGAGATGGAGGCACCTGCTAATTGGCGCACAACATAAGGTGCAAGTGTGCACTGACCACAAGAACCTAGAGTATTGGAGGACGGCACGAGTGCTCAACCAACGGCAAGTGAGGTGGGCCCAGGAATTCTCCAAATTTAACTTTGAGATTTGTTACGTGCCAGGCCCAGAGAACATTAGGGCGGACGCTCTCTCACGCAAACCTGAATATTTGGAGGGGAGGGAGCACCCGAAGAGAGACATGTCATTCCAGAGGACCGCTGGGTGTGTGGGGCGGCATTGGTGGGACAAAGAGAACTGGTAGAAGAAACAGAGAATGATGAATACGCCCAGAATAAGCTCAGAGGTCTTAGGGATGAGGGAGAGGAATCAAGGGGTTTCGAGGAAAGAAATGGAGCTTTGTATTACAAAGGGGCACTGTATATCCCTGAAGGAGACTTAAGGGGAGGGTACTCAAGCAGTTGCATGACAGCCCCACGGCGGGCATTTTGGGCAACACAAAACCATGTGGTTGGTCACCAGGGAATTTTGGTGGCCTAAGG